TGCCCCTGTAAACAGACATTTTCCGCCAAAAACAGATGCTCTGACCCCCAACATCTTTGTTTACTTCTCGCGACCCCTTTGCAATCTTCCCGAACAATGGAATGGTCATTGATCTGTAAACTATGCCTCCTTCTCTTCTGACATGTGAAGCCAAGTCGGTAAATCATATTAGCGAAATCAAGAGAAAACAAAAATAATTCTAAGAATTTCCCCCTTGACAGAATTTATCCTGGCGACATCAAATCACCCGGGTGAGCTCACGTTCCCGGGGAATGAGGGAAAAAAAAATCCCTCAGATGGTGTTGCCTCAGGCATATTTGTCCTTTGGGTGTACCTGGTAGACAAGGAGAAAAACAACCTCTATCGACCAGTCGTCCACTGTACAGGCCACACTCGACTGCAATCTTGACTTCTCACCTCTCAAAGTCTTCCATAGAGTTTTTATCTGAAATTTACTGTAGTTTTCATTTTTGCATTACTTTCTTGTCAACCTTTTCAAGAGGATGCGTGAATGAATATCAAGAAAACAAATCTCCACACATACTTTGATTAGTCATGCTAAACAATTCAAATGTTTTTTTTAAATATACGCAGCATAAACAACAAAGTTGGCCAACAGATTTCGTACACTGATGTCATAAACATAATGTGTTAACTAGACCCCTCTCACGCCCCCCCGCCAAAAAACAAAACAAAACAACCATTCAAATAAACTCAGCAACCACATTGCCAGAACAACAATATGCTATATAATAAAATAAATGACTCAACGTGAAGGAAATAGCACAACAGAAGATATTTGAAACAAATTTTATAATTGTATACTGTCATGAAACATACTGTACTGAATATTCCCATCATACAGTACCTGTAGTGCCTTTTGGGGCCTCATTTGCAGGTCAGGTTGAATAGTTTATTCCCTCCATTCCCCCCTGTTACTCAATATAGTTTCTCATGAATATTCATTGGGTGTAGACAGGACTCAGATGTAAGCATTTGGCGGAACTGGGTCATGTTTGTATAATGGAACATTTTCCATTAAACCTTCTGCTGAACATTAAACTTGAATGGTATTAATGTAAAAATGGGCTTCAGGATGGTGCCTTCGTGTGGATAGTCTTTGTTTTGTGGTTCAGATATTCATTATAGTGTCTTCCATCATGCATAATTGACCGTGCCTTAAATTAGAAAAAAATCTGCATTTTTAGAGTACCATGTTTTCCTGACTGACCACCCATATTTAAATATCTGGATGTTGCTTTAACAAGACAGCCCAGTGGGCCAGTAGTAAGCGCGTTGACCTCACAGTGCAGAGGTACCGTGTTCAATTCCAGCTTCGGCCTCCCTGTGTGGAGTTTGAATGTTCTCCTTGAGCCTGCACGGGTTTTCTCTGGGTACTCCGGTTTCCTTTCACATTCCAAAAACATGCATGGCAGGCTGATTGAACACTCTAAATTGTCCCTAGGTGTGTGTGTGAGCGTGGATGGTTGTTCGTCTCTGTGTGCCCTGCGATTGGCTGGCAACCGGTTCAGGGTGCCCCCGCCTACTGCCCAAAGACTGCTGGGATAGGCTCCAGCACCCCCGCGACCCTTGTGAGGATTAAGCGGATGAGAAAATGGATGGATGGATGGATGGATGGATGTTGCTTTAACTATAAATTCCTGTATGTTGGCACATCAATACATTTGTCTCCTACTGGCACTGGTGGGCCTTAATCAATGTTAAAAGCTGTCAATCACAAACAAGTGAGTAAGGTGGAGGGCAAATGTAATCAGGAAGAAAACAAAACTATACAATTTGCCAAAACCTTTTCCTGCACCCCGTAACCTGAAAACATGATAAGCTGTCCACTGTAGTAACTGCTGTCCCTGAAAGGGTTAATCACGCTATGAACATCAAACTGTAAGTAATGATGTTTTGAGTTGTCGTGCAGTAAATGTGGAGTAAATGTTATGAGCAAACATATGAAATATTAAAAAATATATATTCCCATGAGGGGAGGCGAGATGATTCCCCTGGTACAAGACGGATCTTGAATAAAGCCAAACAAACAAAGCGCCATGCCGAGCAGCATGAATGCCTTGGTGATTACGCCCGTCACTCTCCTTTTGAGTCTCAGTCATCTTCCATCATTGTCGTTTAAATGAAGAGGGGATCAAACAAAACAATTGCGCTTTTAATTTGCATGCATATGAGCTTTATTATATTGTTTTAAAAACATCACCACCCTTTGGTGGCCCTAGGGACCAATGATGGATTGATTGCCATCCCGTTGACTTTTGATGTGATGATTTTGAGAAATCAAATCATAATCGCCGCAGGAAACTCGTATGTAATCGAGGACAATAACAATTAAGAAGTGGTACATATGCTGTCTGGATGAAATTTAAAAAAAACAAAACATTGATTGGAGTTGAATTAAGAGCATTCGAAACAGCAAATAAGCACAGATAAACAAATGCAAGCAGACCGCCAATTGTCAAAAAGATTTCACGACCGGTAGTTTTTTGCAAGTCACTACTGGGTCTGTGCAATTTGAAAGTTAGCCAATTTCTTAAAAGCCTACTTGAGAAAAGAGTGCACTTCCATGTAGCAACGAGCATTCTCACTCAAGCCGGAACAAAAATGATTAACTATGACACGAAGAGCTTGCTCTTTTCTCTCATTTTAATCTCTTATATTCACACAGGCATGCAATCTGTGTTTATTTTTTAAAATCCTGAAGACCATCTGCATCCTTACGTGCCTTTTATTCTTTTCTCAAATTGACACGCGTTGCCAAACACACCAATACTACCTATGCCTGACAAATGCGTCTGACAAATGTTGAAGCCTAAGCCTTGACAGAGGTCTTGCCTTTTTCCGACTGCCCCTGGCCCTAAGGGTATGTAACCTAACTGTATGTTAGGTTTGGACCATGACAGATTTCCTATGATCTGACCTTCGATGATTTTGTTTACATGCCGGTATGCAAACAATCAATAAACCAAGATATGATTGAAGTGTAGGTTCCCATCTTTAATTTAAGACAGTTCAACAAAATGGTATGTGCCACGTGAATTTAATGCAGGGTATCTTGATTTTCAGTTTGCACCACTCAGTCGTAACTGTGCAAATTGACATCATTGTGAATCTAATCTTTTTTGCCATTTCAATTACAATTCTTTGCAGTCAGTGCCTGCCTGAACTGCTGCTGTACATTTCATGAAAGATGGAGAATTGTAGCACATTATCACTCATCCTTATGACACTGTCAATCAAATGCTCGGTTAATTTTAAATGGTTTTCAATCATGCTTCTGGAAAATTGTAACTCTCGCCACATACAGTGCAATTGTCAGCTGTGTGAGTGACTATTTTTCCACAGTCAGCTCTTTGGAGGTTACTCTCGATTTCAATTCCAAGGGGTTGGCTGTCAGCAAACATGAGCAACATTATGATAGTTTCTTCTGAAAAGTGTCACATCTTCTAACTCAAAGGAACAGCTTCAGCTGCCGCAGCAATATTGTGACCTGATTAAGAAAATACATGATATACTGCACATCGGTCACCCTCCAAATATTTTTGTATTCCAAATTTTATGAACGTCTTCTACAGTGGTACCTCTACTTATTAAATGAATTGGTTCTGCAAGAAATGTCTCAACTAGAACAATTTGTAAGTAAAGACGTGTTTTGCATGTAAATGCCCTAATCCGTTCCAAGCCCCCCAAAATTCAGACATAAATGTTTTCGAAAGCCTAAAAATGCATCAAAATATGTAACAAATACATGTTACAATTAGATTATTGCACAATAAATGAGAGTTGTGCATAATGTAAAAACAAAGGTTTGGTTATTTTTACTCATTGCACACTTACTGTACCTGCCTATAATTGATGTGGCGTTTTATTGTTTTGGTAACTTACTCTGAGCTTTATTAGTAAGTATTGCCTTTTGCACTTTTCACAGATAACACTGCAAAATGTAAAGTAGTAGAAGTTGAAAACTTAACACAACCAATGCAGAAATCAGTGAAAAATGGCAGCAGGACAACAAAAGTTGATAAAACTCCAGACCACAGACTGTAGGATACAAAGACAGTAAACATGTAACTATATATCACTGCAAAAAAGTATGACTTAAAGTCTATGCATCAAAATATGTAACAAATACATGTTACGATTGATTATTGCACAATAAATGAGAGTTGTGCATAATGTAAAAAAAAACCCAAAGAATAGATTAAAGAATAAAAATGATTGTCATTTAAATTCTAACTGCGTCCTCATCGTTTTTTGCCCTCTTTAGTCCCTGTTTTTCTCCGAAGTGGTTTTTGCCTGGCGTTTTGTAAAGAACGGATCCAAGGACGTTTTCTTTTGTCGGCTTTTAACAATCCTTCGAAAATGTCCAAGGCAAATATGAGCATAGTGAGCGATCGCCGGACTGGTGAACACTTATTCTGGGTGATTCACATTTACCTAAAACTAACTGAACGCTTCATGGCCCTAGGGGCGAATGACAAGGACACCGCAGAGACACATATCTATCTATTACCTATCTACATAAGTAGACCCATACGATAGAGAGCCCTCTTAGCCAAAGATGCTCGGTAAGAGCCACTGGCAGAGCAGCGAGGAGCAGACCATACTGTATTTTTTCTTTTCGTATCTTGAAATTTCTTTCGTAACAAAAGGCAATCATTTCCTGTTGAGGCATTTTGTAATTTGAAAATGTCGTTTGATGATAGAGGTACCACAATATTAGGTCAGTCATAAGTGCCTGACGAAGGTGTGACTCATGGTATTACATGACATGCAGTTCTCATTTTTTATCTGGTAGGCAACCAGTTTATTACAGTCTCTAAACTCTGGCAGGGTCCACTGTTCACCAAAAGTGGGATGGGTGAGGATGAAATGATCAAGCATCTTCATAGAAAACCGCCAAAATGGTTGAATGTATGGTAATGAAGCAACTGAGGAAGACTGACTGATTGACTCCTACTTTTCCTTGTCTGACGCAGCAAAATCTGACAGGCCTGATGACGATCCCCCGGAGCCCCACTTCTAGTGAGGATGAGATGGCCCAGAGTTTTTCTGATTACTCCGACGACTGCGCCTCTGAAAGCTCCCATGAAGAAACCATTTATGAAACGATAAGGGCCACCGCTGAGCCTCTGTCACACCAGATGGACGACATACACATAAACTCACAGGTCATCCGCATTATCATCCCCGACCTACAACAGACGGTGAGTGACTTTGATGGATGACGGAGGCATGGGGGCCTTAAAGGGGATGTCAACTCAAAAATGTGCTTGACAATATGTTCTATGTACCTTACTTCACTTGTGTAAACACTGCATTTTCATTCATATTTTGGAATAAGATGGAATAAATCCACCTGTTTTTCGCCATCATCGGTGGCAGCCATTTTGTCGCTCTCTGTCCAGTGAAAATGACAATCACAGTTGCTCAAGGCTCCATCAACAAACAATCACGGCTCATCTTTTTTTGAAGCTGAGCATGCAGAAAATATGTGAGCTTGTAATTTTCTCGAGCTTCTTAAGGCAAGGTCATGAATGTTATTGACAACAAATATCTCTTTTCTGTTATATTTATTTCTTCATAGATATTTTAACAATTTATGCAGGTTTAGGTTGCTCTCTGCTCCAATTTCTGTACTATGCTTCTTACTATGCTGTACTATACTTCAGTACCATCTTCTCTAATTTGTCTGTGGAATTAATACGTAACAATTTTATTGTCAATATTATATGTTGGCAGTTTCTGTATTCAGTAAGCATTCTGATTATATCAATCTTTTGAAACTAGGAGAAAGATTAAAACACTCCTGAAAATGTTAGTGCCATCTCTCACAACTTCAAACATCCACGCATTCTTTGTGTCAAATGGATGTTGCACACTGAAACTATAGTGAGAGACGCAATACAGATGGAATTTCGTCTCAATTTGTATTTCGTCTGCTTTAGGTTCTGAATTGACTTTGAATAAATCAAACTTGAAAGTCAAATAAAAAGCTCAGACTGTGGAATGTGTGAATCCATCTGTGCATTTTCTGGAGTGCAGAGGTCACCATGATGGTGCTCGTTTAGTTTACACCAAGTATCTCCCAAAGAACACAAGAGTGTTCTCACCTGAGCTCACTGGTGACTGGACATTTTGACTTCCAGGGAATGTTGTACAAGTGGTCATTTGGAAATGTAAACACAGATTTATAGAAACATGTTTCATATTGATAATTAACTGTTTGACTTCTGAATTATTGCGAGAAATCATTAACATGATCAGTCCCTTTACTTAGTTGAATATCAGGAATAATCAAGGTGAAGGTCAAGGTCATCTTTATTGTCAAATATGATTTATGTATGCCATGCAGCATAGATAAAATTTCTTCCTCTCAATCCTCAGTGCAAACATGCATGCAAACATAATAGCACATTTCTTATTTAAACTAATAGCCCTTTGCATTAATTAGCACCAGTCAGTCAAGAAGCGCTCGGTCTCAAAAAGCCTTGTGACCATTGCTATACTGCTTATCCTCTTACTGGAGTGGTCACAGGGACATACAGTGCTGTGAAAAATTATTTGCCCTCGTCTCAAATTCTTACTTTTTTGAACAATGTTTCCCAACCTAAATGTTTAAGTGTAAAAGTAATTGTATATAGCGTATTTTCCGCACTATAATGCGCACCTAAAAGCATTCAATTTTCCCAAAAGCCAACAGTGCGCCATATAATCCAATGCGCTTTATGTATGGTATTACAGTCACTTTATGTTCTGCATTGAGTTGTTTCCCTGTTAGTGTTCCTATGCCGACTAGTGGAGATTATTAGCAGGATGCAATTGTAACCTAAAAGGGTTCTGCCCAACACAAATTGACATGCGCATGGGTCAAATCTCTCTACAGATGTGTTATTAGGTTTAAGGGGCCTCGAAAGCAGTTATTACTTTTAGGGGCCAATTACTTTTTCACACAGTCCATTCAAAGCACAGGTAGCTTTGAATCAATTTTATCCTTAATAAATAAAATCTGCCATTGGCTGGCGACCAGTTCAGGGGGAAGCCTGCCTCTCACACAGTGAAAGCTGTCTTAAGTTGTGGCACACCCTTTACCCTTTAAAAGCTGAATTTTGTTTTTACTTGGGTTATCTTTTTTGATATTTACTTATTTGTTTTATCATTTTAAACAAGAAAGTGGGAGAACTATCCCAAAAAAGGAATATTTGGAGAAAAGGGCAAATACCTTTTCACTGCGCTAAATAGAGACAGGCATCCATCCATGTTTACAAAAACTGAACCGAACTGAACCCATTTTCCTGCAATGAACTCACGTGAATTTACAACTGCACTATTATTTATAGCGGTGCTGACTATTTGGATGCTTGCATTCATGACATATTTTATAAGCGTGTGCTGTTGGGAATTGTACATGATTTATTTGTATGACGTCCTCATAAAGCCGTCAGTTTCACTTTTCATTTTTAATTACCCGGTATGCCCCAGGTATTTTGCATTTACACGATATGAGTGTAATATGCTGTATGGGTCGATGTGTATAATGTTGTTCCCCTGGGCATACGGGAATAAATAAATAAATAAAATAAAATAAAAAAATTGTAGTCAGTGGCACATACTGCAATTTCCCAACTATAGAGTGCCCCTGATTATAAACTGTACCCACTACATTTTTAAAGGAAAAAACAAACAATAAGCCGCAGGTGCCCACATTGTAACGAGACATCTACAATGAAAGACGGTACTCAGAAAGCGTTTTCAAAGTTTTAATAACATACATTATCTTTTCTTTCCAAATAGTGCCTGTCATGCGGCAGCACTATGGCAGTAAAACAGCACTACCAGGGCTGATTAAAACAAAACAAAACAAAACATAAAAGTCACTGTTTGCCATCGAGCAATGCTTTTTTTTCTATGAAAAAATCCTCGCTTGCCGTAACACTCGGTCAACCATTCCTTTCACTCGGAAAAAGTGGTGCACATGCAGTTGAAATTTTTCTTGGATGAACATGACATCTTGGAGGTCTTCCAGTCAGGTTTCAAGACGATGCATAGCATGGAGTCAGCCCTGTTACACGTTTCTAATGACATCCTGCTGGCAAATGACACTGGAGACTACGTGTGTCTAGTTTTATTGGATTTAACTGCAGCATTTGATACAGTGGATCACAGTATTCTGCTGACTCGTTTGCAGCACTTGGTGGGCATTGGCGGTGGCGCTCTTGAGTGGTTTAGGTCCTATTTAGCTGACAGAACCTTTTGTGTCAGCCTTGGCTGCTCTGAGTCACGCACTGCTCCCCTGTCATGTGGTGTTCCACAGGGCTCAATTCTGGGGCCTCTGCTGTTCTCGCTGTATCTGCTCCCATCTGGTTCCATCTGAAGGAAACATGGTATTTCCTTCCACTGCTATGCAGATGACTGCCAGATCTATGTCCCACTGAGCAAAAAAGACGCCTTCTCATTAAGGCCACTTCTATCCTGCCTGGAAGAAATCAAAACCTGGATGGCACAAAATTTCTTGACTTTCAATGAAAAGAAGACAGAGGTGATACTGTTTGGTCCCAGTGGCCCTTG